CACACACACACACACACACACACACACACACACACACACACACACACACACACACACACACTCATGTATATTATACATGTATGTAATTAATTTTTGTATTATCTTCACTCACTGTCTGCTTACATATACATGGACATTATTTCGAAACACTTCATCAGTAATAGCAATTTGGAACATCCGTAAAACAATTATTGCTATAATAAGAAATATATTAATACATCGTAACTGAATTTTTTCCAACTAATCTTTTCCTGCCTTTTCTTTTATAATATATGTACTTATATAAATTTCTACTAATGGTTATTTAATTATTTTCACCTTTCATATAACGAGGAAAACTGAAAATTGAACTAATGTCCGATAAGTAAGTAATTTCCACAGGATTCATATTAAAATGAGAATCCAGATGAAGAGATTCGTATTGATTTTGAATTATGAAGAGATCCAAAATTTCAGAATTATTGAAGCTCTAGAAATAAAGTTACATAATTATGCATAAACGTTAAAGTACCAGCCATTTCCGCATATTGAGCTAACGTGTGCTACTGCACACTATATACAATACATGTGCACGTTTGTGCATTATTATTAAAATCATTTTACAGTTTTCATAATTCAGTTTAGAAATAACGCTTGAATCCACATCTATTAAAATAAGTTTTCGCACAATTGTGACATTATATGATTCAAATTGTGATTTTTTTTTTAAATTTAATTGAAAAGATTTTTAGGAGCTTTTTTCTAATTTTTACATAATATAATTATTCCTACTAAAAAGTATATCGTCGCGAACATCACATAATATATCGATTTTGGAGTGGCACCCTGTTGGACACGGCTCAATTGGATACGAGACATTCACAGCGTTTGAGACTACAAAGCTCCTAAGCACCGGTCGCCCGGATTGGTGGTGTCCTATCGAGCCGTGATCAATCGGGATCACTCCTCTTTCATATTGCGATATTAATAAATAGATAAACCTTAACAACAGCTTCTTCTCCGAACATAGTAGCAAGAGCATCGTGTAACCACAAATAAGACCAATCTGAACTGAGGAGGTTACTAAACCATTGATATGCTATTTTAGGTGCTATTAAACGTGCGACTTCCATTTTGCGTATAACTGGATCCAATGTTTCATCATAAATAAGATTGGATTCCCTAAAAAGTATTATAATTAATCTAACATGCTATACATTTTTATGGTTCTTTTTTAAATAAAACGTAACACTTTTTTTACACTTTCCTTTGTTTTTAATAAGTGTATAAGATATTTGATTTTATAAATTATAGATAATTATGTATATGGTAAATTACAATAGGATCAAATTATTTGCATTTTATTATATCTAGTTTGACATTAAATGTTGAATGTAATATCTCGTTAAAGATACACTTTCCTTATTAATTTTGTTAGGAATGTGGACTTTGCTTTTCGTGTTTCTTAATAAAGTACAATAAATGTCTAACACTTTATATACAATGTAATTCGTGTAATGTGACAGATGCAGTTGTGAATAAAATTTATAAAAATATATGAAAGTGTTTTATAAGTAGATGTTAAGTCTCCGGAGGAGATATCGTACCGTAAAATAGGTTTCGGTGAATATACTAAATAGGTAAACCAGCCCAAAACTTGACTCTGACATTTGGTGTCACAGGGAAAGACTCTCTGATTCGGTATAATTATCAAGGTTACTTATGGAAGCGAAAAGACATTTTCTAATTGCTTTTATTTTTTAAATAGTCTGTATATATTTTCAATCATACAGATTCTTTTAGTTATCTATACATGAACTATTTATACTTTGAGATATTCAAGACGAATTATTAAAACATCAATGTAGCATACAAAATATGTAATACTTTCTATTCTAGCGTATATTGGAATAATGTGAAAAATCGCGCAACTGATAATTTCTTTATACTCATATTCTGGTATTTTTATGCACAGTTGATGAAAAAAACACAATTGATTTTAGAAAAGAAATACAATTACAATTATTCTATATTTTTAAAAATAAATTGTACACGAATCACCTTGTATGTGTGATAATAATAGTTATTAAATGTATAACTTATTAAATTTTAATCTTCTAAATATTTATATAGATGCAAATTATTTTTTCGTTTAACATATTTTATATTTGAATGTATGCATTACGAATGAAATATGAGTCCCCATTTCGATATGCCGTCTTGTGGACAATTTGGAATCGCAATGTGATCCATTTTTGGAATATTTATCCCTCCAAATTCAGATTTTAACTGCAATGTAATATTGTTTATGATTTTGCGTGCAAACTCAAATTTTTCACGCCAGCCTTTTGAATCACAATCGCACCACAAAGTAATGTTTTCGTTAACTCTAAAGCGTTGATATTCAGTCAAGACTATCGCAATTTGGAAAATGGTCATTGGAGGCGTAATATAGAAGTATGTGCGTAATGAATCTTTATGACTATCAGAGATTATGGACTTTATCGGCATATTTGATAAAGCTGAACAAGAGCGAGGATGTTTTATTGAAATATTAAATGTGGCCTTTAATTGCGGTTGGTCCCAACAAGGAAATAACTGTCTCATTCCATTCCGCCCTTGAATGTATGGAGCTATCAACAAACTATTACAATTTGATAATTATTATATTTCAAATACAATAATGCATCTTTATAATTCGATTGAATTCCAACAATATCATTAAAAATTGGTATGAATTACATTTTGAATAAAAATAAGAAATAATTATAAATCACATCATGTATACGTATATTTTTAACCATTTATAATTTACTAACGTTACGATATTTCCTTTGGAAACATTTTTAAAGAAACTGTCTTCATGGTTTTCCCTTAGATGACTAAAAAATTGTATTTTGAATGTGTATAGTCCGGGAAGTAACATATAGAGTAAAGGAAATCCTAATACGTTTTTGCTGTATTTGTATTTATTCAATACGTAAATTATGGCGTTCTTTGTAGTCAAAGTTATATTCGCAAGACTTATTATCAGCTTTAGTTGATTCAAACTTATATAGTGAGTCGACTGTAGGATATTAATAGTTGTACTAGTTTTACCGCGAAAGAAAAATGAGTCATATTCATTTTTTAAACCAAACATTTCTTTCCAAATGTTATCAAGTTTATCAGTGTGTTCATAATTTGGGTTTATGTAGTCGAGCTGTATGCAGTAGTGCACTGGTATCATGTAATAAGGAAAATGTATGTAATTCGAAATGTTGAAATTGTTTTGTTCATCACTATTAAGAACAGCTATTGTCAGAATAAGTATTACTCTATTACTTATCTGTACTAAATTCATGTTGCCTCAGTTGTCGTTTTAAATATATATATCTGTCGGAAAGTTTAAAGAAATAATATAGTACTAATGATAATAATGCGCATTGTTATTGTACATGTTGTGAGAGAGAGAGAGAGGGAGAGAGAGAGGGAGAGGAAGAGGGAGAGGGAGAGGGAGAGGGAG